TCGCAAGGGACGATGTCTTGGGCTTGCGCAGGACTCCGCCCTTAGTTGGTTTTTTCGTTGGCTGGCTGGTTTCGAGCATGCAGCTGATTCGGTGCTATAATGATGAAGGCAGCAAGAACCTCTGAAACGTTGGTAAATCCAGACTTTTCGGAGCTACAACCCAGACGACAGCCATCTTAGGACTCTGCCGTGAAAACCTTAAATCCTACAGAAACGTTTGGTCGGAAAACTCAGAGGGAAGTGATTACACAAGAAAACTTTACGGGCAAATAATATTAAAATGGACGTACAGATAAATAAAGTGCGAAGTTGTGGGCCCAAGGCAGGTTCCAATGACGGCCTTCTGTGCACACAATGACGAAAGTTCGAGTTACATCACAGCAGGGAATTTCTTGACAAGATGATCAGCTGCTCAGCCACAGATGACACAGTGCTAAAAGGGCAATCTTACGTCTGATAAAGCATTTGAGCAATTAAACTTCGTACGGATTTCAGTTTATATAAACATTATCAGAATCGCAGAAAGGCCAATTAGTGCAGGTTAAAATTAAAATGACCTTAGAAACTGGAAGCCGAGAAGCAAGTTAGGAGGAACGTGGCGAAAAGCTTTCCTCTCACAAATAAACATAGAAAATGGAACCCCGATGAAAAAAGACGCTATTCGGCGACTGCTAACTGGCGAGGAGAGGGGTGAGAAGAAGGGGCTGCGGAACTGACTGATTCAAGGGGGGAGATGAGTACGTCATTTTATTACATTTTATAGTAGGAATTTTTAAAGACACTATAAATTCTCCTTAAGACGGAAATATTGAAAATGTTAATGGCCAGATGCCGTCAAGCGCCATCATGTTGGCCCGCTTGTACTCTACGTAATTTTAGATTGGTGAGGTAATACTGACAGCAGAACAGCAGAATTCATAGGTAGCATGTTTCTAGTACCCCACAGCCAACATTCGTTAGCCACTAACCCCCATTCCCGGCCTTGGGCTCCGTCGCCTAAGAGAATGGTAAGAAAAGAGCCCGACACTGCAGTGGCGTGTCAGTTATTTAACGATGATCTATCAAATTAATTGGTAGGGATAAATGAGGTAGAGGATCAATTGTATGGGATCTCAAACTATTTTATGACATTATTCCGGTGTCTGGCAGGAAAGACTGCGAAAAACCACGACGGACTCCGGTTGGCTGGTGTTTCTACCGATAAAGTTGTTGTCCCACGTACTCCCACCCACGACGCCCTATCGATCGCGCTGCCGTCGCCGCTTCTACTGCCCTCTGATGGGAGACTTGGCTAGCCTGCCTGATTTTACTCTGTCCCTCCAACCCTTGACCTGCAGTCACCTTGCAGTATTCGGCTGCTGGTAGATCTACCTCTGAATTCCAATGGACAATGGAGTAAAGTACACGGATTTTGAAAATGCACCCCTCATCGGCCTTACACTCAGTTACTGGAAACACAAAGCCAGTCAACAGCGCAGATATTACTATGTATAAAGGCACAGAATATCAAATACGCGCCATGTCGAAACGTGTTCGAACGTCGCATACCATAATCGTCCGTAAAGGAGTACGATACTGACCAAGAAGAACTTCGCCTTGCCGCATTCGGTGTAGGTCACACTCCAAGCACAATTCCACAGATATCCGTTCCGTAATCCTCGTGCCAAAGCAAGCGAGTGGAGGGACACAACCTCCCGATAACACACTCATTTTCTACGCCTTGTGATGCGCGTTTTGACCAATACGACAGGGCATCCATACACTTTGCATCAAACTTTGGTTTGATTTTTTTAAAAGTACTTGACGAGATTTCTTATAACAAAGGTAACGTTATTGTACCTAATTAAGCACCACGGCATACAGACGGATGGAGTGGAGACGAAATCCACACATTCTTAATCTCGGCACTACATGAAAGTGAGTGTCCAGCTTAACGCCCCGCTAGCTTTACCCCGGTACTCACTAGACTGGAGATTGGCCTGCAAACAGAAAAACATCTGGCCCATCGCGAATCAAACCCCTGTCGTCCTGACAGTACCCTAGACACTAGGCCCTTTTCTGACTGAGATATTTCGGTTATCTAGGTCAAATTAAAATTTTGGTTTGGGTCTTCAATAAGGCAGAAACCTCAGCTGGAATGCAAAACCGAAAGGCAAACTGATCAGTGTCTTGCAACAAAGGCGACCAACCAACAACCACCTGTACAGCGCTGGAACGTACGACGGGGGCCAGTTAAGAAATCTTTCACGTCAGAGTGTCTGGGTCAAACCACGGCCGGTCTCGTACTTTCACTTCCGACCCAGCGCACCATCAAAACGCCATTTCTGACCCGACTCCATACAACTATTACACTTGCACAGGCTACCGCAAATAAAACAACGATCACGTAATAGGATTTGCAGAAGGGCCTTGAAAGTGCGCAGTACCCATTGGTGATTTATCGAGACGTAAGCGGCCAGTGCAGCTGGAATCGTACTTCTCATTCACGAACTGGACCTCATCATCCCGTGTCCTCCCACCACGCAGCTAGCATGTTCCAGCCACGAGATCACACAGACGTGGGAGGGGTGTACACAAAGACCAGGGCTGCACAGTTTAACAACCACGATAAGTAACGTGCCTACGAAACATCGCAATAAAGCTCCTTTTTAACAAGACAAAATGTTGAGAGCAGATGTTCGACATTTTAGGGCGACCGAACGTCCCGAGCGCCGTTCAGTTTAAGACGACGCACCTCAGGCTTCCCTGTTGGCTGCTTCACACCTGCACTGCGCAATGTTTGCTTTGTTCATATCGGAGGCGGCGAGGTCGCAGAGAACAAAAACAACGACATGCAAACGTGTGCGAAGGTTTACGCAAGGCGTGTCTGTTTGTTGTTTTGGAAACACACTGCCTTCTAAACCGACCTGAAACGAGCCACATGGCAAGACGACAGCGGGAGGTTGGACACCGCTTACGATAGCGCACACCAACGGCCTGTGTTATTATGCAGTTACTGGTTTATGGGAGTTCATGCAAATATTCCACATCAGTCTCTCGGGCGAATACATAGCGAAATACGGGGGAAAAACCATGTACGTACACACACATATTCATGCCCTAAGCAATGCGAGCTTTAAACTAAATAAAGGGAAATTAAGTTCATACACGGGAAGTTTCTTAAAACACAAGTGCTACCTGCTGCGGTGCAAAAGGCAGCTGGAGACGTACATACTCAGCTTAAAACGGTACGTTACACCCGCAATGTAAATTTTGTCGACCGCTGTCCATCTTCATTCAGACAGCATCGTTTAATTACCACCTTACTTCGGGGCGTTGGTGAAATTTTGCCTGTATGCTAAATTTTTTTTAGCATATTTATATCCATGGCACTTACAGTTCAGATTAAGGTAAGACTTAAAACGAACTTAATATAGAAAGTCTTTGACAGATTTACATTGTACTTCTTACACTTGGATGCCGCACGGAATGAAAGGATTTAAATCATTCCTGGGCCCCCTTACACGCACGCAGACGCACCACCTGCAATATTTTTATTTATTTCCTCCATTTCAAAATATCAAGCAAAAATAATGATTAGGCCAAAACATGGAGACGGGGATTTTCATTTCTGGTCGAGCTGCAAGGGGAAACCAAGGCATTCGTCTTTTATCACCTGGCGAGAAGTGGGAAAGCTGCGGGTGTCCGCGTAAACCTCGTTTTATTTTAATACGGAGTTGCGAACCCTGTGCATCCAGGCCCAAAAAGAGCTGCGGTGCCAGTGTTCTTGGCAAGAATTTTTCACCAGTGCGTGCTAACTGATCCACCGCAATCTCCGTATGAAGCCAAAACGCGAACAACAAACACATCCTGCAAGCTAGACGTCGAGCATAATTTGAAAGACCTAGACCCACTCATCAGGCAAGTGTTTGTGGTGACAGTGAACATTCCGGTTACGCAAAGAAAGTATTTTATTCGTCTACCGAAAGACCAATGTTCTGAGGCATCTGCAAACACGTCACATAAAACACGCGAGTGGCGAACAGCTTATCGCAAAGCTGACTGCTGACACAAATTACAGTGCACCTTGATTATCTGCTGTTCTGCAGTCGTTTCGTTTATACACACGAAGCCGAGTGATTTGTCTCGATCCGTCTGATAAGCTGGCCACAGGATGTGCCGACTGTTTCATGTCGGTTGCACATTTTTATGTAGGGCACACAGAGGCATTTCAATGCCCGTCCTCACTGCTGTGGCGTTCTTCTGGGTCCTAACTTTTTCTTCTACGTGTGTGCTTTAAATTCCATGTTATCTTCAGCCACCGGCCTTCGCCCGTTTTATTATCTGCCTCCTCAACTGCACTATCGACCTTACGTCCAGTCTACCGCGCACATTCAGCTGTTCTGTCTCTCTCACCGCGTGCCCTTGTCTCACCAACACCGGTTTTAGCATCTGACTTCCTAAATACCTCCACTGGCCGATTTGTTCTACTGCGTTACTGATCCGTTTTATTGATGATGGATGCGTTTTATTCTGCTCTGCACCGGGCAAATGTCTCAAGTGCTACTACATAAGAACAGTTAAAGTCAAACTGAATATGTATTGATTTGCGCCCTTCTTACCAAGCACCAAAGCTGTAACCCCTTTGATATATCCAAAAATTTCTGAAATTTAAAGACGATGTCAGTAGCTCAATTACGAAAAATTTCCAAAATCGACAAAATTAAAACAAACTTGAAAATTCAAAGATTTTGAAAAATTATGAAAATTTTCAAAATTGGACGAAAATCTCATAAAATTTTCTAAATTTTTCAAAATTCAAAACACAAAGCCTTCACACGAGCCACGTAGGCAAGCGTTGGGTGCGGTTACTTATGAAAGCAATAGATTTTCGTTGGAAACTTTTTAGTCGGACATCTTACAACTTCATTATCGCTAATTT